TCTGACCGAGGAGAGATTAAATTATGACCTCGTGATCGTCTTGCAAGGTTCACTGTACAGCACAGTGTTGTATATGACTACTGCTGGTTCATACTGTTGGTGAACCAGTAGAACAGCATTTACTAAACCTTGTCTGGATAATATTTATGAGGGGTCGTGATAACAGCCTCTGGTGGGCTTCTGGACCACCGTTTACAAATACATAGATCCAAGTATAAACGACCATATGTTCAGCTTCTTCGTAATACTTTCATGATTGGTGCAAAAGTTGACACACTAGGTTAATGACGCACAACATTTGATTCCCTTCTAGAGATAATCAGTGTAATGTAATAGAAGGTTGTGGGTAACCGTGTCCTCGTATACCACCTGCAATAGAGGCTTGAAGAATTACACCTTGTCAAACTTGCACCGATAAACTAAGTGATGATAAACTGTGTATTAAAAATCACGGGGGTGGGACAAGTCCAGCTCCTTACCGAGATGATGACCCAACCCAACCCAACCGACAAAACACCCATGGCCTCAATTAATTTCATTCTTACACCTTAATTGGAAGTCATCTAATGCAGTAACTAAGGTACGTGGGTTTTAATGCATTAACCATCAGACTTGCTGTATCTATGAATATCTTAAAATACAACTCTTCAATACAGTGTCAGATGGTGAGGAATAGTTTTATTTTTTTTATTCTGGGTTTGTTTTTTAAAGGTAACTTCCCACCTTCTTGGCCACTGTGCTTGAACCGTTGTTTGTTAGTCCTGTTTCCCTTCATACCATTGTTTGGTGGTCTGTTTTTTCTTAATACTGTATCATGTTTGTTCCCTTACCTCAGTCCCACTTGTATCTTCTCTTCCTTAATACTGGTGTTTATGGTCATGTCTCTTACTCCTCTCCCTCCCACGCTACAAGTTGTACTCTATCCACTTTTTATTTTGTTTTATGATTTTTTTTTGTTCACTTCGCCCTTCCTATGACCATTTAACCCTTTCCTCTCGGTACTTTTGCTCGACTTCCTTCCTGGCAAATTTGTTTGATATCTCCCCCTCGTCCTATTATTTTGGTTATTCGAATGTAAAATGCTGGTTGTCGACCTTAGTTCACTTGGTTATTGGTGGGAGTTTTGGAGTGGAAGTGGGAATCACTCAATCGAACAGAGAGTCTGTAGACTAACATTTGGCAAGGGTCCGGTGTTTATTTTTTTTTTCGGACGCTTGGGGTGGGGATGTTGTCGGGGGTGCCCCAAAGGAGTCGTAGAGCGGTCTGGAGCGTGGCACTTGAACGTTGTGTGGCTGCCATCACCACCTGCTCTGCCACCACTGTCAAGACGTTCACACCCCGCCAAGATATACAGCCCACACCTTGGTAAGCATCCCCACCCGTGAGATCAAACCATAATGCAGGTGGAAGGAGGGCCGGGCAGACAGTGATGTCCGAGAAAATGGTCTCCCAGAGCACCTGGGCGGTGGCACCGGGTTTTCTCCGCCACACAACTCTGACAAGTGACTTTGTCGTGTGTGTGGTTTCTAGGCTGGACTTGAGTGGCTCATTTACACCCGCTGCCTCCCCGCCATAACTTGACTCCCAGATATATTGTGACACTCATATTATTGTTGTTTTTCCTTAAATGAGACAAGTAAGAGAACATTGACCACCATATGGGTGATAACCATTAAGCCTCAGTGTGGTAGGCGGCTGTGGCCTGAGTCCCTCAAGAGCTACAAGGTGCACATTTTCTTTTTGAAGGTCTGGTTTGAGAGAAAAAGTAATTAGTGTGTATTAGATAAATGTCGCGATACTTTATAGTGGACGTATTCATATACAGTACTGTACTAATACTTAAAGCATGAAGTGTGTATTTCATAATATAATGTGGTTTCAGACAGTAGTTTGTGGTGGGCATGTTAGTCAGCATGAAGCCTTGGCCACCCTTGTGTTACACTGCATCCAACATTTCCTACCAACATCATGTACTTCACTGAGAATTATTGTGACCATGTACTCTCATATTTTTTCTTCTCAGCATTAATATAACTATTGTTTGTGTGGTACGAATGTTCCTGCATTACGTTAATATACAGTAGTCTTGTCTGTACTATGCATACGATTTACAAAATTTTAAAGGGGACAATTACAGTTTTTCATATTATAACAAAACAAAAAATATTTACAAATATATTACACGGACTATTTGACTGTTCTTATGTTTATTATTGATATCAGACTAAATACTCATGTTAAATAATGTATTATATTGGACCGTACAGAATCATCGCAAAATAATTCCCAGATTTTAATTGGTTATATATTGAAATCTGGGCATTGTTTTTCGATGACCCAGTATTAATGTTTTTACTGGCAATTTGAAGCAGTGGTCAGTGTAAGTAGTAGGCAGTGTAAACAGTGGTCAGTGTAAGCAGTGGTCAGTGTAAGCAGTGGTCATTGTAAGTAATGGTCAGTGTAAAAGCAGTGGTCAGTGTAAGTAATGGTCAGTGAAAGCAGTGGTCACTGAAAGCAGTGGTCACTGTAAACAATGGTCATTGTAAGCAGTGGTCAGTGTAAGCAGTGGTCACTGTAAACAATGGTCATTATAAGCCTTGGTCAGTGTAAGCAGTGGCCAGTGTAAGTAATGGTCAGTGTAAGCAGTGGTCAGTGTAAGTAATGGTCACTGTAAACAATGGTCAGTGTAAGCAGTGGTCATTGTAAGCAATGGTCAGTGTAAGCAATGGTCAATGTTAGTAATGGTCAGTGTAAGCAGTGGTCAGGGTAAGCAGTGGTCAGTGTTGGTAATGGTCAGTGTTAGTAGTGGTCAGTGTAAGCAGTGGTCAGTATAAACAGTGGTCAGTGTAAGTAATGGTCAGTGTTAGTAATAGTCAGTGTTAGTAATGGCCTCATAGCATCTCTCTCCATAGTGAGGGAAATATGTCACGTGATGGAAGCACTTCACAACTCACTACAGTATTTTTGTTGCTAGGGTTGTGATGTGTCAAATTCGTTTCTCTGACAGTTTTGCTGTCGATCATCTGACGTTGATTCATTCACTTTCACTTGATGATGCAAAATTAGGCGTGTTTTGTGTTATGAATGTACACTGAATTAAAAGAAGGTCTCCACTCATATCTCTCATCAGTTTCAGTTAATATCAGAAAGAAAACAAAACATCCACTTCCTTCTCTCCCCCTCTCTCTCTCGTTCAGGGTCGGATCCAAGAAGTTGTGGGTGGGGGAACATGGCGAGCACAGCGACCCCACACTGCTTTATTTTATTTTATTTTTTTTGGGGGGGGGGGTCAGGCCACCCCACCCTAGAAAATTTTATGAGATCCAATATCATGGGCATTTTAAGGCCATTTTGAAGCTACGTTCTCTTGATATTAGGAGACATTCAGAAGTCAATAGTAATTACTGTTTACTCTTCAAAAATGCCCGAGTACAATACTGCACTAAAGAAAAATTATAGAAATTTTCTAAAAAGGGGGTCCGGTCCTCCAGGACCCCCCTCCATCCACTGGATCCGTCCTTCCGTCTGTCTGTCTCTATATATACTGTGTGTGTGTGTGTATATATATATATATATATATATATATATATATATATATATATATATATATATATATATATATATATATATATATATATATATATATATATATATATATATATATATATATATATATATATATATATATATATATATATATATATATATATATATATATATATATACTATGTCCCTTATGTCTTTCCTTAGTTTTGAAGATAGAAAGTCAAAATTTGGTAGGGAGGTGTAGGTGGACTAGGCCCTAGGGGGATGGCCGTGCACATCTATCAATCTACTAAGGGGAAGCCAAGTAACTCAATAGTTGATCGTATAATGGCTATCATCAGATGAGTATACCATTGTTTTAATACATGGTAAATGCTATGCAGATAAGAAAAGGCACTATAGTCTATTTACTCGAACCTTGCAACTGAGGCCTTGGGGTCAGTTGTAACATGGCAGCTGATTGGCTGGCAGAGTGGCAGACGGACATTTGCATTCTAATACAGTACTGTATTCTGAAAGATAAAAACTTTTCTGTGTTGATGTCTGATAATTTACGCACTTAGGGAAGGAAAAATGAGCTTGTTAATCGCACAAGTATTAAAAATATCATAAAAGGAAGCCAGTGTCTGATACTAAGCGGCCAATATATACCCGGTATGTTAAAATACAGGTACCATTGATTGACGATACCAACTCTTCCCCCAATAATAACCCCCTCCCCCCTCACTAGTAACACCAACCACCAACTAGAAGCCCCTCCCTCCCAGCACCTTAACTACCATACCTCTGAGGTTTTCATTTAAAGATCAATTATGTTCGGTGCTTTTTGTGGGATGTTTTATAACTAATAATAAAGTACAGGGGTATACGAGTAGTGTATTGTTGACAAGATGATTGGTTTGTACAGTGCAGTATATAGTATTACCAAGTAGGTTGTGTGCGCGCGTGTATGCTTGAAGGTATAGTTAATTGTAAAATGAATATTAAAGACCTTCAGTACAAGTTGGGTCCTTAATAATGGTTGTTTAAAGTCGTCGCTTAGTATTGTTGACTTTATGGTGTACGTACTTTATTTTTATGTCCCTAGGATGAGAGAGGACCTTGAGCATTTCTCAGCTTCTGGTACAGACAGAAACCATTCATGGCGGTCCCTTTTTAACTGCAGCTGGACATTGTAGTACTTATTGTTGCCATTGAGAAAAGGCTTCTAGGTGTATAATATAGTACACACTTAGAAGCCTTTTCTCATAGTGTTGGTTATCACAGCCTAGGTCTTTTTGTGATGGTTTAGTCCAATATTTATGTTTCCATTATTTCTGGTAGTTGATGGCAAAACATTTTGTTTATGAATGATATTATTCATAATGTTTGTAAAATTAGTACCAGTAGTGTACCATAGTGGTGGTGTGATGTGTACTCCTCTGGGCTACCATTGACTTCACAATATATTTCAGGATGGCAGGCATGGCTGGGGTACCCACCTGGCAAGGTGTTCCACAGCCTCAGCTGCCCACTGGACAGATGCCGCAGCTTCAGCAGCCAGCGTCTATGGTGGGCGCTTATCCAGTGCAGCAGTTTCAGGTATGTAAGGGTAACGGTGGGTGGGTGTGGGTTGAAGGCAGGGGTCACCAACTTCTTGTGGGTGTGGTACCCGCTCCCTCAGCTGCACTCTGCCTCACACTTCTTACTTTGTTTCTTGCTGTTAATCCTTAATGTCACTTCTTGTGTTAGATGTATTTTTTTTCCTTTATGCCACTTTTATCTTCACCTGTTTTGCTCTATAAATACAATATTTGTTAGAAAATATATACTGTATAGAGATGTGAATCCTTCATATACATTAATGCATAGACTTAAAGTTTTTACTTTCCCATTATTCTCTCCTGATAATATTCATAACAATGATTGATGTTTTTCTATTATAGTACGTCATTACTGCTAGTCCTTTAAAAATAGAATCCCATATCAAAACTGATAATTTTTATTATTTATCATAGCTTGCTATAAGTCTACACTTGTTTTTATTTATTTTTTTTACATTAAGATTCTCATCTCAGCACTTGAGATTGCATGACACGAGGCGCTCAGTATCCATATTTCTTACTGTATACAGAGTTGCATGCTTAACTTTTGTGGAGTTTTTACTTACTCATCAAGGAAATACTGTACACTATCATTGTTTATTATTCGCTTACATTATATTGTTTATGATCCCACAATATCTGGTATTTACCTAGAGTCTCAGCTTTTTTAATAAAAAAATATACTCTGCATGTTAGAGAGAAATTACTAAAAACTGTGTGGTTCATCTTAGACGTTGCACCAATTGTTATTTGCTATCTCCATTAGGAATGTTATATGCTATAGTTCCATGAATTGTCAGAGTATGATCAAACAGTACTGTCTTGAAAACGTGGCTACAGCCTTCCATCACGTGAGTTGTGGGAAAAGTCTTTGTATTGAGGTATAATAAGTTGTCAAATTCCTCATAATAATAATTTCAAGCCCCATGACCTAAGTTGGAGGACTGGATCGTTTTGTTCTTGCTGGTGTGATGACTTTTGAATATCCTAAATTTTGGCATAATTTTACAGCTGTCGAGCCCCTACCTCCTGGGCAGCACTCCTGGCACCTTGGTGAGTCTTGGCCCGCCCCTGGCCTCCCCCTGGCCATCCCTGGCCACCCACACACTCACCCCCCAACCACACACCGTGCCGTGTCCCTAGAAGTTGGCACTCACGAAGGCCACATGGGGATAAGGCTGCCCATTCACCCTGATATTACTGACTTACATCATATGTATTGTAAAAGCTCCCCTTTGAGTAAATCAGTACCTGACAAAATGAATTTATATATGTTCTTGCTATACATCTGTTTGTGTCTAAGTGAGTGTGATTATATATATATATATATATATATATATATATATATATATATATATATATATATATATATATATATATATATATATATATATATATATATATATATATATATATATATATATATATATATAGTAAAATGTTACATAGACACATACACACTGGCGCATAAGTATGTGACCAGTATAATGATGACATTTGAGGATGACATGTCAGCAAGTACTATAGCATGTATAAAGAATCAGTATTACTGTGATAGCTCCATAACTTTCCTCCTTACTTTGTCTACACAGAATGGGTGGTCTTGTGTAGAGTTAGTGTAATTAAGCTGTCAGAATAATGCTAGGGAGGGGTTGATGATGCTGCTGCTGCTCTTGCTGCCCCTGATGCTTTTGCTCTAACTTCTATATCAATTTAAGTGATACGGATACAATAGCATGAACATCTGTACCTTGCTTATTCCACGGACTCCTCTAAGGGGAAGCCACTTGTATAGTACACTGTAGTTCTGTACTGTATGTTTCTTGACAATATCCTCACTGGTCATCTGCACACCTTCAACAGATATATTGAAGGGTGTTGACCAGCTTCAGAAAAGTATATTGAAGAAGGGACATGCTGTTCTGTCATTAGACAGTATTGGCCATGTGCTTGCTCGTTGAATCAATCACTTGGTGTTTGCAGGCAGTAAAAGTAAACAAGAAATAAAGGTAAAAAAATTTTTGGAGACAGTGAAAAACAGAATGGGAAAGTACTGTAATTTGTATTTATGTTACATTGTGATATATGAGTAACTGAATATAATTATAAAGTGATGAGTGAAGTGGATGAATAAAAACTGTCACTGGAAGGAAAGTTCCATTCCACAGTACTAGTGGACCTTCTTGAGTGATAGAGGCCATTATGATCCATCCACTACTTGAACATCAACTTGATCAATTATGATCATGTGATGTGGATAGTGCAATACAGTATACTGTACAGGATTCATATTAAAAGTAGATATTTGTAATGTGCTTGTAACTCCCAATTAAAAATTACCATACAGGGCAATTAAATTTAAACAAAAATATTGCTCTACAAAATGTTAAAAAATTCTTGTTAGAATTAAATTGTAAAAAAATCAGTGTTGATATTGTGTTGTGTATTTAGCAAACTTTTAAAGCATTTTTCGCAGCAGTTGCTTAATATAAATATTTTTGCCATACGTCAAAGTTGAGCTGCTCTATAGCCAGTAAGTCTAGTGCATTGACTGGTGCCTAGAATTTGGATGACTTTGCTAAATTCGGTTATCCTTCACACCCATACTGGACTCCTGAAGTATAACCTTTGGCATCAAGGTATCATGAAAATGGAGAAGGCTTAATGAGTTTTGTTGTTGAACACAAACGTGTGGATCAAATTGCTCTTTCAACAGGAGCCATTGGACAATGTTCAGGAGTACAGGTAGTAGGCTTTCTGATCCAGTCACACAACTGCATAGTGTGGAGCGATCAGCACCTGCGCATGACAATGCAAACACTTAAGAGTATTTCTACGCTAATCTGGCCCATAAGCCACGCCCTTCTATGAAAATAGCTGATTGGTTCAAAGGAAATGTTCGTGTAGCTGTCCATTTATTCAAATTAAATATGTTCACAATTGGTAAGCAGACCTGTTATTCTCAAAAATAATGTTAAATATGTGGACTATCAAAATGCAAATTATTTCAAGGCGATAGGACTTCAGAGAGGATGTGAGAAAATTTAAATATTTTTCAAAAAAGGTTGAAGTCAAAGATGAAATTCGCTTTTGAATGAAGGTTTTTCATTATTTCTTTGTTTTGTACCAAACATAAAGCAAACGGAAACAAATGATACTAAACATATAGCACAATTGGTAATGTATTACAGTTTGTATGGCTGGAGATATCCCAAATCATTTATATAACTGATAAAACTTGAAGGGGGGTAAAACGCTCAGAGGAACAGCCACTGGACTTGCCGAAATTTCACTCATTTCAACATCAACTCTCAACTGTTAACAGATGTCAGCACTGTGGTACTTAACCAACAAAAACATTTCTCACACCCACGAGCAGATTATTAAATACTTTATCCACTAACTTGGCATCTCCGACCCATCTTATATGCTGCATTGTGACAAGATTTACGTAATAATATATGCTACGAAATATTAAGAAGCGATGTAAAGATTTAACATTTTCATCCTCTGTCATCAAGTATCAAGAAATTTGGTGAAAATGAACAAAACTCTCAGCCAATGATGGACGAGGTATAGTTAATTTGTGTCTATTAGTATTCTAATACGAGCTCTACTGTACTGGCAGTACGAGTTTAGTGTCCAGCTGATCTGTCACTATTAGCTCATGTGGCTGCCAAGTCCAGTGGTTGTACCCCTTCCTGGACTGCGCGTATTTATATCGAGTTTTATCAGTTATATAAATGATTTGGGATATATTCAGCTGTGCAAACTGTAGTACATTACCTATTGTGCTATATGTTTGTTATCATTTGTGTTTACTTTATGTTTGGTACAAAACAGAGAAATAGTGAAAAGACTTTATTCAAAAGCTAATTTCATCCTTGACTTCGACCTTTTATGATAAATATTAAAAATTTTCTAACATCCATTCTGAAGTGGTAATGCCTTGAAATCATTTGCATTTTGATCGTCCATATATTTAATATTATTTTTGAGAATAATAGGTTTGCTTACCAATTGTGAACATATTTAGTTTGAATAAATGGACAGCTATACGAACATTTTCTTTGAACCAACCAGCTATTTGTAGCTATAGACGAGGGGCGTGGCTTAAGGGCCAGGTTAGTGTGGAAATAGTCTAAGCGTTGTCTTGTTATTTTAATCACTAACATTCTTAGGGTGTTGGTGGTACAGTGGTAATACATGTATCCTGGTTTTGAGTCCTGGCCCTAGACACACGTGAGTAGGGTGATATTCCTTGTGGTGAACGGTAATAAAGTCACAGGAAAAAAAGTCACAGAAAAAAAGTCACATTTAAGGTAATAAAACTAAAAATATTTTAAAACAGTTATTAACTGACAAAACATGACTTTTACATATTGACAACACAATTTATATATGATGCACGTAGGTTAGGTTAGGTTGGGTTAGGTGACTTTTTTCTGTGACTTTTTCTGTGACACTTTTAACTGTGACTTTTTTTCTGTGACTTTTTTCCTGAATTCATTCCTTGTGACCCTCCCAACATTGCAGGTCTCCTCCTGACCTAACACTGGACAGTAAGCTTAATCCTTTCATGGTATTTTAATGCAAATTGTGTCACTAAGCTCTCCTGTGCTGACGCAACCCCTCATGCTCAGTTGTATCTCATACAGAGACGCACCCCTCCCGTAACCAGAAATGCGGGAACAGTGGACTGGCTCTATCAACCACCTAAGTTCCTCCCACCACCCTCGTGGTCTAGCAGATGCATTTCTATGGGTCCAATTTGGGTATAGATCACTGTACCCAATGTTTACTACAATGGAAAAAACATCCCTGTTACCGACGAAACCTGCATCGAAAGACTACAAGGGGGTGGGATTTCCGACCAAGGATAAGAGTACCAGAGAGCTAATAACAAAGTAGCGAAAGAACAGACCAACCACCTGAATGGCTAGTAAGCTGATAAGTGGCATGTACTGTTGCCATGCAGCCCTTGGTGTTGGTTTTATACATGTATACTTTCAATAAGTTTATACGGTGTTGCATATTTTCCATCATATAGAGCATCATATCTTTTATAAGATAAATGTGTCCTTTGGGATGGAGCTACAGAAGGGGTTTTTCTACAGATTGTGAATTTTAGGGTTAATCAGTCAGATTCTGAAACGAGATCAGTCTTGTCTACATATTTTTCTTAGAAAACTTTGGAAGATAATTTGGACAGATTATACAGGACATGGAGTTTTCTTTGGTAATGAAACAGTATGGTTCTAGGTGATGCAGGGTTATGCCCTGAAATTTACAGGATTATTATTTTACTAACTAGTTCCTGGTGTATCACACAGGGAGGCAAAACAAATTTATCAAACCATGGAAATCATACTTGACATGAAGTGGAAAGGGATATTCTGAATGAAAATTGTGTTTCATGAGACAGAATTCGTGAGGTAATATCTAGAAGGGCACTTAAGTACACTGTTTTCACATTAAAGAGCAGTATGAAATAAAATAAAAAGTCACTGAGCATAGGAATCGCCAAACCTTTATTGTAACTGAACTAAAACAGTGCTTAGTCTACTAACATCACCTATGAACACTTTGTGCCCATCAATTATATAGATGTGCCAAGCAAAGGCATCCAGATATTTGAAGTACAGTATATAAGTGCAGAAACAGCAAACAGCAGGCATCCACCCTTTTGCATGTTCCTTTTAGGTTATAGTTATTGATTATTATGAATATTTAAAAAAATGCTGAAATTTAGACAGCTCAACAGTTCTTCCCCACAAGGATTTGCCAAACACTCTCAGTACCTTCTGAATACTGTTATTATGTTGTTGTGCAAGTCCCAACTGATGTTTGTGTCCCTCAGGCAGTGTGGGGGAAGGTATCTGCTTAAGTTGGGTCCTAAAAACAGGGTTATAGCCATTTATATCTCCTTTATTGCATGCACTTATTTTCAAATTTGCATCCAAATTACATAGGGATGTTGTCCATAATTTGCCTTGTCTTTCCAAGTTTTGCTTAGAATTTGAATATTCTGTACTTTTCTTTGATATGGTACC